CTCTCCATTTGGACATTATTTATTATTCTTGTGTCTTTTCTGTACATTATGACTTTTTAACATAGTAATACTTATTATTCACGTCGGATCTAAATGTCTAAAATTTTTCTTGCAATATTATTTGTTATATTATCGCATACTTTTCGCCTATTCTTTTTCGCTTTGTTTGCAGCCTTGTGCCGTCCGCCATCTGCATCTGTTATTGCCCAATTAAATCCTGCTCGTATCTACATTGATCGACTACTTCATCGGTCCGCATTCGCTACGATTGATTTGGATAAATTTTTCTCCAGTCTCCGCGTCACTAAGCGTGCTGTCGCCCATGGCTTATAATGTTTCATAATCATGTTCACTAATCAAAGCATATGTTAATAAAGAGAACTCTTTTTAATTTCCCCTATATCTCCAGAAGTTGTCATAAATACATGTTGCAGATATCAGTGCGAATGGTAATCTTTTCCATTTACCATCGCTATATCTTTCAAATTTATATTTATCTTACTCATTTATCGTAACTGAAGCTGATTAGGCAAATTTTTAATACCTTATCTCTCTTCCAAGGTATCATTTTGCTACATCGCATCTTTTCAAGTAGCTATTTCTTAATCTAACTAGCTCATTCGTGGGAATTATTTTGGCTTGCTTCTCGTTTGCGCACTTAAACGTGATCCACAAAAAGAACAAAATGATAAACTATAATTAAATAAAGTTGAGAAAACGAGGCTAAGCCAGCAGTACCGCTAAAGGAGGCTGCGAATAAACGAAGGTCGCATAATTTCGGTCGTTTTAAATCACGCCATTTTAACTTCTATGAGAACTTGAAATATATCAAAGTTTTCTTCATCATAAAACTCAAAAAAGTCCAGTATTAAAATAAAATAATAAATTCCAGATAAATATTTATTTGAACTTTGTATACATTTATATTGAACCCCTAAAACTCGTCAAAAAGTCTTGGAAATCCTACGCAATCCAAATTGATTTATGGACTGTTATGTTATGAGCGGCGTATTGTATTTATTAATACAATAAGTAATTTTCTCACTATGGGCTAATTTTTCTTAGTGATCTCATCTTTCCCCCTCGGTTTTAGTACCGAAATATTTTCCTTATATAGTCTGGTGTGAGTATTTGACCTCGCTTGGTTTTTATCTGTATCCTCAGTGAGATACGAGGTCTTGGACGGGTAGTTGCGAAACATTATCACTGCTCTATATTCGCCATAACAATTTTTTGACAATTCGACAAGTCATTGACAAATCCAAACAAGATTAAAAATTAAAAAAAAACAATTTTTAAACTTTCTCATACCATCTTACTTATCTTCATACATTTAAGTTTTATCTACTTTTGTCAAATGTCTTTTTGAACTGTCTAAACTTTTGACCAACCTTGCCGCAATACCTTATCCTCAATGCACCGATCAACTTATAAGGCGTTTCTCCATTTACGCTGCTTTGATGTTACTCTCATCATCCTTTTTATTCATAATCTCTTGTTTAGATACGTCACGTGTAATTTAAGACTGATCAGGATCGTAAAGCTCTACCCTGGCTAATTAAAGGATTTCGATGTGCACTACTTAAATTTTTACAAGTAGATGGCTTATATATATGTATTTATTTAATCGTATATTTATGCATATATATCATTTTTCGAGACTAACAGCAGATCATATATATGAGGCGTATTAATCCTATTTCGTTTATTGTAATAAGGGGGCTGGTATGAGTGAAAATAACGTTTCCATTGAATTCCACATAGCCTTAGAAGTTGTTTGCCCTTGGTTTCACAACTTGGTCATATTAGCAGGAAGACCCTAGTCCATAGTCTACACGGTAATTTCCAAATTCGCACCATGGACTTGGTACATTTCCAGACGTTTTCCCGGTGTCATCAGTGAGTCTTGCCATTCTTAGCAACCAAGCGACAACTCGTCAAAGAGACAAGTGAAGTCAGTCCATCGGTCAATATTCTGCCAAAAACGGTTACACTGTCAATCCTCTTTCTGTCTTGGCCTATTTATCAACTCATCCCTTTCCCGCCCTATCATAACTTTGACTTGTTTGTGTTACATTTGTCTCTGAAGAGATAGCTAAAATTGGTCCCAAGAATGACAAGTCTCGCTGATGATGCCGGCGAGACGATTAAGACTGTACCAAATTCATTGTCTTTGCTGGGAATTATGATAGCTACTATGGCAGAGGGCTTCGCTCAATGTGAATTCTACTGTCGACAAAACCAAGTTGCGACAACGAGATCAACCGAATTCTGTGTGGATGTTGATTTCTCTTTAATTTTAAAGTCACATTATCCACGCTTTAGTAAGTTAATAAAATCTAGTACTAATTTAAAAGTATTGTTGGCAATTCGGTGGTTCAGATTAATGATCTGGATTA